CGCAGTGGTCATCGCGCTCGTGTTCCTGACGCTGCTCGCGGCGCTCGCCGTCATCGCCGTCTACCTCTACAAGAACCAGGGCAGCTACCTCACCTAYGAGCAGCCCGCGGGCGGGCCCGACGCCGCCGTGCCCACGGAGGACGCCGCGGGCAGGGAGAAGGAGGAGTATTTCATCTAGCGCGCGGGGACGGACGCCGCCGGCTGCTCTTGGGGTCCCCGAGATTTTATTTGTCCCCTCTTAATTTATTAAGGCTGTTCTCRGAGGGAAACGAGGCACTCGGCAAGCCGCTCGCTCCCAGCCTGTCTCCCTGCTCCGGTGCTTCCTAAGATAACCCCGGCCTCGATTCCCTGCTGTTCTTCGGGACCGCCACGGCGCTGCCACTCAGGACAAGGGTAATTAGCCCAGCTAATTGCAGGGCAATGCCGAGGGGTTCCGCGCACGGCCCCGGTTCCTCCTTCGAGCRCGCCGCCAAGAAGGAGGAAGGAACAAAGATGTGAAGCAAGCCCCAAGCTCGCGGCGGCCACGGAGCCGAGGGGGGTTCTCTGAGGCCTAATACAAATTTGCTGCTGTATTCAAATTTTCAAAATAGTCTTTATTTCTACTTTTTTTTTAGTATAAAAAAATCCACAAGTTAAGTGCACCACAGTGTATACAGAGAGAGACATAATGCTGAACTTCCTTAACAGTCAGTCGTACGGTTAAACGCAACATATACAAGACATGGATTTTCATTAAACTGAAACCTCAAGATAAAATAGATTCGAATCTCCTATTTCTCGTCATTAAACAAAAAATAAAAGCCAAAACATTGAGGATCCCTGAAATATTCTTCATTACCCAACTAAGACTTCATTCTCGCCCGGTTGCTTTTGAAGTTCGCGTGCATAAACGAAGCCCTAAGCCAAGCTCGCCTGTGCGCGCCGACCGGGTGCTCCACACCCTCGTGCAGATGGGAACCAGCCTCTCTGGTTGAACAGGAGCCTTAAGGAGGTTTTTGGTGTCAAGACACCAGGTTGTTTTTAAAAAGAAAAAAAAAAAAAACCCAAATTTTGTTTATTAAGCGTYGCTAGTTAGCATTTAATGAAACGCTCAAACATGAGTCGCGTTGTGTTTCTGGCACCAAAGCCTGGCTTTGATTAGAGCTAATGTGCAAAGAAATCCAAGGTTACTTGGAAGTGTATTAAAAAATAAGAAGAATAATCCCATGCCTGGCAGTAGCTGCGCAGCCTCCTGGAGGAGCGGCCGGCTCGACGCGAGGCCGGCGAGCGCTTCCCAGGCTCGGGAAGGTTTCGGAGGCTGCCGGTCCGGACGGGAGCTCCGTGGGATGGAGCCTCGCGCGGGCAGGGGATTCACTGCCCTCCCGGAGCCGGGGTTTGGGAGCCGGCAKCGCTCCAGCGGGATGACGTCCGTCTCCCGCGGCCACCTCCCGTCCCGGGACGGAGCTCGGGGGCTGCTCCGCGCGCCGCAGCGGGCAGCGCCCCGCGGGTCTCATCTGCGCCTTCGGGTTAATATGGACTAAAGCGGTTACGGTGTGAGAAGTGCTGACAGCGTGAGATGTCTGTCCTGACACAAATGTCGCCCCCCCTCGATTTCGTGTGTCTCCCCCCCACCCCGGCCCCTTCCTCCTTCACCAGATGGTGTAGCCGCCGTCTGAGCCGCCCAGGAAGAAGCTGCCCTTGCGCTGCGTCACCACCACGTTGGCTCCCTGCATCACGGCCAGCTGGGCGCCGTTGGGGGGACAGCCGGGCGGCGGGGGCTGCAAGAGACGGAGGGGACGAGGCGGGAGGACGGGGAACCGCCGCACGCCGTCGCTTCCCCTTCCCCGTCCGCCGCTTCCCGAGCCCGTCGAGGGCGGGAGCCAGGGGCGCTCTCCGCTCACAACACGGGCAAGCCCATTTCCACGGCCACGAGTGGGACAGGCAGCCGGGACCTCCCGCAGCTCCGGTGCCAGTAACCACCACGCTTCCCAGCGATCCAGCAGGTAGAAAACCCCTTTTCCCTCRGAAACCCGTGCGTGTTTTCTCCCCCGTTCCCACCAGCGACCCTCCAGAACGGAAGCTCACGGGGCTCCGAGGACGTGTTTGTACTTACAGGGATACTGGCTGTGCCGCCAGCCCCAAATCGGGCTCCGGGGTCGAAGCCRCCTTCGACGAGCACCGTGGAGCCCGGCGGGTAGACGGGACCCACCGGGTAATAGGCCATGGGCACCGAAGAGCCGATGGGCCCCAYGGCCACCGACTGCGCCACGGGCAGGAACACCGAAGCGCCCGGATACGCCGCGGACATCGTGGGAACGGTGGCAGCTCCCAGGGGCACGAAGCTGGGGCGGTAGAGCTGGGAGAGAGGCCAACACGAGCGAGTTGAGGGGTTTATTGCCCCCCGCGCCCTCTGCGCTCGCTCGCGAAGCGCTAGCCGGAGACGGACTTTCGCCCTTCCGCGTGCACAAAGTCCTCCCGCATCCCGAGCGTCTAATTCCGTGTGGTCAAAAAGGACGTTTTGCCCCGCTGCTGCTACRTGGAGAGCTGCTACAAGGTGTATTTTGAACCAAGATTGGCTAAATTTATCATCTCGACTCAGACAGGACTGGATGGTGTCTGAGACTCCAAGCGCACAGGGCAGGGCTGCAGTGAGCCAACTTGGTGACCAACTGCTGCCCGGTGACACAAAGCAAGCGATATGGGTTAAAGAGAAAAAAAAAAAGCAGCTAGAAACTCAACCAAAGATTTTCTCTTTGGAGGGTGCCCAGAATAAAACCAAGCCAGGAGAAGATTCCTGCGTACCTCGGAATAAGCCGGGGGGGCGTCCGTGTAGGGCGGCGGCTGGGGCAGCGGCAGGGTCTGCGGGAACACGGCCGGGGTGCCCGGGGACTGCACCGGGTAGGGGGGCTGCACCGGGTACTGCCCTGCGGGGAGCAGAGGGCTGAGCGGAGCGGGGAGCGCTCGGCCGAGCGGCGCGGGAAGGCGCCGAGGCGAGCCCGTCCTCGCGGGGGCGAGCGGCGCAGCGGCCGGGCACTGCTAATTAGCGGTCATTAGGTCCCGCTAAGCGCCCAGGCCGCCGCCGGCCAGCGCCGCTCCCCACGGGCCGGTTCTGCCGCTGGAGAGTGACCAGGACACCCGTTTGGGTGACCAAATGTCCCCCCCCCCACCCCGGGAAAGGGACAGCGGGTGTCGCTGGGTGACATCCCCAGTGTCACCCGGGGGTTCCCTGGTGCCAGCCCCACCTAAACCCTTGGGGTGTCCCCCTATGTCACCCCAGGGCGTCTCCCCTGTCCAGGTCCCCCGACCCCAACCAGGGTCACTGCTGTCACCCAGGGGGTGCCTCTGCCCTCCTTACACCATTGGGGGGGTCCCCTATGTCACCCGGGGTCCCCCCCCTCCAGGTGCCCCCCCTGTCACCGAGGGTCTCCTCCAGACCCCTTGACCTCCTCGTGTCATCCAGGGGGTCCCCTATGCCACTCGGGGATCCCCCTAGCCGTAACGGAACCCCTTATGTCCCCCAGGGGTCACGCTACGTCACGCAGGGGCCCCCCCACCGCAGAGGAGTTCCCCACTCCGCTGCCCGCTGACGTCACCCCCCCCGCACCCATCGGGGGTCTCTCCCACACGTCACAAGAGGGGTGGGGTTTTCCCCATACGTCACACGTGGGGAGGGGGCGTGAAGGGGTTCCCCCTCCCGGGGCAGCCATGGCAACGCGCGCGCCCCCCCCCGTCCCGCTCCCATTGGCCGAGCGCTGCCCGCGCGCCCCCAGCCCGGCCGTGACGTCACGATCCTTAAAGGCGCCGCGCCCCGGGGCGGGTTATTGGGGGGGAGGGGGAATGCTCGTTGCTGGGGGGGG